GCCCCAGCAGGGAGCAGGACAGGGCCATGGGTGGCTTGTCCGGGTGAAGGGGTTGGGGAGAGCCAGCTCCCTGCTGCCATGTGCACTCCTGAGGGGCAGGGGTACCTGCACCCCCCAGATCTGTATGGGGGGGGGCAGGCACAGGCTGCAGGCTCCCACCCCGCTTCCCTCCCCCGAGGCCTTCGCAGCCCAGCAGGCACGTCCCGGCACGGCAGGGAATAGTGGAGCCATGAGCTCCATGCTGCCCTGGTGATGCACCTCCTGCGTGCAGGGCTGCCATGAGGGCAGCAGCACGGGGTTGCACCTCTCAAAGCAGTGATGCACACAGGAGGTGCGTTGCCAGGGCAACACGGAGCTCACAGTGGCAAGGAGATCCCCATGCAGCTCCACTGTTCTCTGCCATGCTGGGTTGCGCTCGCTGGTCTGCAGAGGCCCGGGAGACGGGAAGCAGGGCAGGAGCCCACAGCCTGCACCTGCCCCGTATACAGATCTGGGGGGCAAGGGTCCCCCCTGTTGCTTGGGAGTGCACATAGTGGCAAGGAGCTGCCCCCCAAGCCCACAGGAGGCAGCAGTGGGGAATGGGGGCAGGGGCCTGCAGGCCTGGGTTCACAGCCCTGGCAGCTGGGGCCCCCTCCAGCAGGGCTGGGGGAAGCACAGGCTGTGGGTGGGGGGAGGGTTAATTTTAAATCATGGATTTGGGGGTGTTTATTAGAGAACTTGCAATTTTTTTAGATCAGGGAAAAACTAGGATCCCTGCTTATTAGATAATCATGTTCCTCTGTCCTGTAATAAAAAAAGCCATGGAACTAAACTATAAAGCGACCTATTCTGTTCTTTAAGCCAGCTCTTTCTCCAGTGTTCTGCTTGATACAAAGGATACGGTTGATTTTACTACAAAATCTTTAGTGAACTATAAGGCATAAAGATTAGTTCAAAGATCAACCTATACCTAATGGAACACAACCCTGCCTTAACGACGAATGCAAAACCCACAACCTTCACTAGTACTACAATATACAGTGCTCGCAACAAAACCACCAGAATCCACAGATCCCATGCATCTATCCCAAACTGCAGCATCTCAAATGCACCAAATGTCTTCATGGAAATTATATGGGTGAAACTAGACAAGAACCATTGTATTGACTCGAATAGAAGATGACCCTGATAAGATACTCTCCCTCAATAGTTAGATTCTATATGGGAAATATACAAATTTGTTGCAACTTTTCAGGTATAGAATCGAATTATTGGATGTCTGCTTTGAGTTTGTTCCCCTCCCGCTGCTACAGCAGAGAAAATAGATCTGGGGGTCAGGTAGCCCCATTGTTCTGCTTCCCCCATCCCAACTTTTTCCCTTAGCAGCCCCTACCACCTCTCCTTATGGTCAGGTTCTGCTCTCCCTGACCAGAAAGTGAGGAGCTAATTTGAAAACAATAACTTTGAGATTAAAAATAGCTGTAGCAATCTGCGTATCAACTCAGCATGACTATAAAATCCATGGCCCACATTGGCCAAACATGCATTATTATTTATTTATTTATTGTTTTTAAATTTTGTGTCTCAAGCCAAATTAGGCAAATCAGTTCTGAATTCCATTGACTGACAAGAGCTCAGTCATTCAGGTCTGTGTGGTGCTACCATCAGCAAGTATCCTGCCTCCCAAACTTAGTCTTGGGTTTCAGACGGTCCTAAATACATGGCAGGCATCTTATGTGCAAGCCCCAAGCCTGGAGGCCTTGGAGTTCAGATGCAATACAAACTATGCATGATATTAGTCCAAAGCCAAAGGCTCGTGATTTACTGCATAGTTCACTGGGCAATTTATGAAGCCAAATCTTTCTACGTCACTTTGGCATGACAAATGAGCCTGAGAGTAGAAGACTTGATACATATTATACCATTAGTCCCAATCCTGTGAGTCAAATGCATGAATTAAGGATGAGAAACAAAACTGCCATTTATAAGCTGGATTCCTTTTAGTGACAAAGTTCACATTAGCTTCCCCCACCTTACAAAAGTCTCTAGTGCGCCATACTTCCAAAATCCAAAGGTGAAGTCATACCTGTGAGAATGTTCTTGAAGGCTTCTTCTACATTTGTTGAATCCAGGGCAGAAGTTTCAATAAAAGATAAGTTATTTTTTTCTGCAACAAAGAACAAGTAAATCAGACACTCGGGTAACACTTTCAGCCTTTGAAACAAGTTTTTTGTTCTAAAAACTGCCAGGGCCCTAAGTCTTGTCTTCTGCATAAAGTTGGGAGGAGTCAAAATATTCTTTCAAATGACCCTTTTATTTTATTAGAAGCACTATTAGCTTCTGCTGTCATGACTGCTGTCCCCACCTCCCTGCCCAAGCATCTCCCCCCTGCTTGGCAGAAGGGCCTTCAATAGAGTCCTCCCCCTCTGTACAGTATTATTTCTCTAAAACTTCCAACAGCAGCATGAAACTACCATTGTTTTGTGGTTACCAGCAACACAGATGTGCCTCTGAGGAAACACACAGGACTGATCCTGTAGACTGATAGTTCTGTAGGATTCATGACTAGGAAAATGCAAGACCTGCATGATTGCACCTCCAAATAACAATAAATCTCTGGAGACAGAATACACTGAAAGGTACAGGAAACTAAAATAAACTGGAGGGTCTTCCCAACCAGATTGTGTACCATCATTGCCATGAGTGTTTAAACACAGGAAAAAGGATTTACATTATTACCTGCCAAACCAAGACTGAACTTGTTTCAAGAGTTTACAATGCAGAGCCTGCATATTGGGGTGGGGTGGGGGAAGAAACGGACAGACAGTAATTTTCAGTTCCTGTATCACAAGCGACACAGGCAGTCTGTGTGTGTGTGGCATGTGGCAGACTGCAGCAGCATATAGGCCAGGGAGCAGAAAGAAGGGCAACAGATCAGGCAGGGGAAGGGGATCAAAGTGACACCCAGTGGGCGCGTCCACACATGCAAGCACGTGCACCTGCAGCAGCTCAAATAGAAGTGGTGCAAATTTGACCCGGGGCTTTTTGCCTCAGTGCACATGCTCAGACATGCACAATTTGCTCCACAATGAAGTGCCACTTGGGGGCAAAATAACCCTGCCTGGCTCCTCCCAGATCTGCAGCCAGGGGGAGCTAGAGCCCAGGGCCAGCACCTGTGTTGTCCGCAGCAGTATAAAAAGCTGCCCTGGCAAGTAGCTCAGGGCTACTTGCTCTCAGGAGTTTCTGGGTCCAAGGTGCCAGCTCTGAGCAGGCAGGGCCCTGCCACTGGCCTCCCTAGGAAGAATTCTGGTATTCCCTATTGGAAAGCTAAAAATCCGAAAGTCACTCTGTAAAATACCCAAAATCCATGTTCCTCCACAAGTAAAACAAAAAGACCAGTGTAAAGAGAGAGAGACAGTGACAGTGATCAGTTGGGCAGTGTTTTATTATTTATTATTTATATATCTACAGTGTTAAAGCAATGTAGAAGCCTACCAGTGTCTCCATCATAATAATAAAGTGAACTCTAAATATATATTCATGTATTCATGAATATATATTTTGCTGCCCTCCCACAGGGGCTACACCTGCCTGCCCCCACAAGGCCCACATGCCCCAC